TAGAACCTGACAAAACCAAACCCTCTCTGAATATAATAATAAAACTTACTGTGGAACTAAGTTATCAGGACAGTAGAACCTAAGTAAACCAAACCAAACCCTCTCTGACTATACTAATAATACTTTCTGTGGAACTAAGTAATCAGGACAGTAGAACCTGACAAAACTAAACCAAACCCTGTCTGAATATAATAATAATACTTACTGTGTAACTAAGTAATCAGGACAGTAGAACCTGACTTAACTGAACCAAATCCTCTCTGAATATAATAATAATACTTACTGTGGAACTAAGTAATCAGGACAGTAGAACCTGACAAAACCAAACCAAACCCTCTCTGAATATAATAATAATACTTACTGTGGAACTAAGTAATCAGGACAGTAGAACCTGACTAAACTAAACCAAATCCTCTCTGAATATAATAATAATACTTACTGTGGAACTAAGTAATCAGGACAGTAGAACCTGACTAAAATAAACCAAATCCTCTCTGAATATAATAATAATACTTACTGTGGAACTAAGTAATCAGGACAGTAGAACCTGACAAAACCAAACCAAATCCTCTCTAAATATAATAATAATACTTACTGTGGAACTCAGTAATCAGGACAGTAGAACCTGACTAAACTAAACCAAACCCTCTCTGAATATAATAATAATACTTACTGTGGAACTAAGTAATGAGGAGGGTAGAACCTGACTAAACTAAACCAAACCCTCTCTGAATATAATAATAATACTTACTGTGGAACTAAGTAATCAGGACAGTAGAACCTGACAAAACCAAACCAAATCCTCTCTAAATATAATAATAATACTTACTGTGGAACTAAGTAATCAGGACAGTAGAACCTAAGTAAACCAAACCAAACCCTCTCTGAATATAATAATAATACTTATTGTGGAACTAAGTCATCAGGACAGTAGAACCTGACTAAACTAAACCAAATCCTCTCTGAATATAATAATGATACTTACTGTGGAACTCAGTAATCAAGGCAGTAGAACCTGACAAACCAAACCAAACCCTCTCTGAATATAATATTAATAATACTTATTGTAGAACTTAGTAATCAGGACAGTAGAACCTGACAAAACCAAACCCTCTCTGAATATAATAATAAAACTTACTGTGGAACTAAGTTATCAGGACAGTAGAACCTAAGTAAACCAAACCAAACCCTCTCTGACTATACTAATAATACTTTCTGTGGAACTAAGTAATCAGGACAGTAGAACCTGACAAAACTAAACCAAACCCTGTCTGAATATAATAATAATACTTACTGTGTAACTAAGTAATCAGGACAGTAGAACCTGACTTAACTGAACCAAATCCTCTCTGAATATAATAATAATACTTACTGTGGAACTAAGTAATCAGGACAGTAGAACCTGACAAAACCAAACCAAACCCTCTCTGAATATAATAATAATACTTACTGTGGAACTAAGTAATCAGGACAGTAGAACCTGACTAAACTAAACCAAATCCTCTCTGAATATAATAATAATACTTACTGTGGAACTAAGTAATCAGGACAGTAGAACCTGACAAAACCAAACCAAATCCTCTCTAAATATAATAATAATACTTACTGTGGAACTAAGTAATCAGGACAGTAGAACCTAAGTAAACCAAACAAAACCCTCTCTGACTATAATAATAATACTAACTGTGGAACTAAGTAATCAGGACAGTAGAACCTGACTAAACTAAACCAAACCCTCTCTGAATATAATAATAATACTTACTGTGGAACTAAGTAATCAGGACAGTAGAACCTGACTAAACCAACTCTCTCTGAATATAATAATAATACTTACAGTGGAACTAAGTAATCAGGACAGTAGAACCTGACAAAACCATACCCTCTCTGAATATGATAATAATACTTACTGTGGAACTAAGTAATCAGGACAGTAGAACCTAAGTAAACCAAACCAAACCCTCTCTGACTATAATAATAATACTTATTGTGGAACTAAGTAATCAGGACAGTAGAACCTGACTAAACTAAACCAAACCCTCTCTGAATATAAAAATAATACTTATTGTGGAACTAAGTCATCAGGACAGTAGAACCTGACTAAACTAAACCAAATCCTCTCGGAATATAATAATGATACTTACTGTGGAACTCAGTAATCAGGGCAGTAGAACCTGACAAACCAAACCAAACCCTCTCTGAATATAATAATAATAATACTTATTGTAGAACTTAGTAATCAGGACAGTAGAACCTGACAAAACCAAACCCTCTCTGAATATAATAATAATACTTACTGTGGAACTAAGTAATCAGGACAGTAGAACCTAAGTAAACCAAACCAAACCCTCTCTGACTATAATAATAATACTTTCTGTGGAACTAAGTAATCAGGACAGTAGAACCTGACTAAACTAAACCAAACCCTGTCTGAATATAATAATAATACTTACTGTGGAACTAAGTAATCAGGACAGTAGAACCTGACTAAAATAAACCAAATCCTCTCTGAATATAATAATAATACTTACTGTGGAACTAAGTAATCAGGACAGTAGAACCTGACAAAACCAAACCAAATCCTCTCTAAATATAATAATAATACTTACTGTGGAACTCAGTAATCAGGACAGTAGAACCTGACTAAACTAAACCAAACCCTCTCTGAATATAATAATAATACTTACTGTGGAACTAAGTAATGAGGAGGGTAGAACCTGACTAAACTAAACCAAACCCTCTCTGAATATAATAATAATACTTACTGTGGAACTAAGTAATCAGGACAGTAGAACCTGACTAAACTAAACCAAATCCTCTCTGAATATAATAAAAATACTTACTGTGGAACTGCATGTAAGTAATCAGGACAGTAGAACCTGACTAAACTAAACCAAACCCTCTCTGAATATAATAATAATACTTACTGTGGAACTGAGTAATTAGGACAGTAGAACCTGAGTAAACTAAACCAAACCCTCTCTGAATATAATAATAATAATTACTGTGGAACTCAGTAATCAGGACAGTAGAACCTGACAAAACCAAACCAAACCCTCTCTGAATATAATAATAATACTTATTGTGGAACTCAGTAATCAGGACAGTAGAACCTGACTAAACCAAACCAAACCCTTTCTGAATATAATAATAATACTTACTGTGGAACTCAGTAATCAGGACAGTAGAACCTGACAAAACTAAACCAAACCCTCTCTGAATATAATAATAATACTTACTGTGGAACTCAGTAATCAGGACAGTAGAACCTGACTAAACTAAACCAAACCCTCTCTGAATATAATAATAATACTTAATGTGGAACTCAGTAATCAGGACAGTAGAACCTGACTAAACTAAACCAAACCCTCTCTGAATATAATAATAATACTTACTGTTGAACTAAGTAATCAGGACAGTAGAACCTGACAAAACTAAACCAAACCCTCTCTGAATATAATAATAATACTTACTGTGGAACTAAGTAATTAGGACAGTAGAACCTGACTAAACTTAACCAAACCCTCTCTGAATATAATAATAATACTTACTGTAGAACTAAGTAATCAGGACAGTAGAACCTGACTAAACTAAACCAAACCCTCTCTGAATATAAAAATAATACTTACTGTGAAACTAAGTAATCAGGACAGTAGAACCTGACTAAACTTAACCAAACCCTCTCTGAATATAATAATAATACTTACTGTGGAACTCAGTAATCAGGACAGTAGAACCTGACTAAACTAAACCAAACCCTCTCTGAATATAATAATAATACTTACTGTGGAACTCAGTAATCAGGACATACAACATGATGTACAATGTGAATGTTTTATTTTTAACCTAGCTGTGAATACTTATACATGCTATATACTGTACATACATGTATATTTAATTAAAAGAAAATCTTCAGTCTCAAAAGGACTGGTTACCTTCAACTCCCAAAGGAGTTTGATTTAGAAAGGTGTCACTGTAGAATATTTTAAACAGTTGTACAAGTAATGATCATTGTGTATAAAGTGAAATTTACAAATAATTTGCACCAAGAAAGTGTATGACCACAGGATGTTTATGAAACAAAAACCAGCAATTTTTTTTATTGACAAAATGATTTTTCATTTTGTGAACAAATATATTTGAGAAGTATCTGCTTGGGAATTCGAATTTGCATATAATAACTTTTAATTAATCATATTGTAAATTCATTTATTTTTTGTGGATATTTGATTTCATGGTTTTTGCACAGTTTGCATACAAGCCTATTGGTATCCCACTTATATTAATGAATTAACAATATTTGATAAAAAAAAATATTAAAAAACGACAGTCAATTGTATGTACATGTATTTGGCTTGAGCATCTACTCTTAGGTTTGTTAATCGAATATGAGGGGATTGGTTCTGGATAGTGTATAGGGAATATTCCAAGGCACTTTAAATAATACTCAAAGCAGTTAAACAAATAACAATTTAATGAAAAGAAAGTAAAGACATATTCAATTCATACATTTAACACATCAAAACAACTTAATAAATTTTAGACAGAAACCCTAACATAGTATACAAAACCTGGTGAGCTTATCCATCATGATGGCAAGAAGCTAGCATATAGAACTTAAATTTAGACAGAATTGTCTTAACAAAATCTATTCATGATGTGCAGCACAGTGCACTTCAAATAGGCAACCCGTCTTTAGATGAATAATTGATATTCAAATATTATTATTATTTCATTTCAATAAGTTCCTTTAATATGGTAAGCAAAAATAAATAACATTTTAAAATTATCGCCAATGTCAAATAAATAAAGGAACTTAAATGTCAGCCTTGCTCTATATATATATATGAATACTAAATTGAATCAAGCAAATAGAAATGAAATATAATCAAGCAAATAAATTAACAGCATGAAATAATTAAGCAATGAAAAGGGAAATAATCCATTGCTATTGCACGAACATTTATGTATAACCTATTTAAACATCTAGTTCTTTTTGACAGGTACCCTGCTGGATTTGTTTATATCTACACAGCTCTGTATTACATTACTGACCATGGTACCAACATTAAACTAGGACAGTATATATTTGCAGTATTATATATCCTGTCTCTTCTTGTTATATTTGATATCTACAGAAGATGTAAAACTGTAAGTATTTAGTTATATTAACAGAGAACAGATTATATGACTCTAAATGACCATATTTCTATCCTCTTTAGGTTCACTTTTGTATAGATCAATCCCCACTAGTTTTACACTTGTATGTAAATTTGTCTACCATTACTTAAAATCATATGAGTTCCCACAAAATTTTGAATCATAATTTAAAAATTTGATGTAATTAAACATGATTATTGCATGACATCAGAAGGTTATTTGGAGACATTTCTAGGGTCATTCCAAGACAATTCAGCTGAATACCCAACTGTGTAAATAAGTCTATTAATAAGACATGTATTTATAGCAAAAAACCCAAATTTATATATAGAATTTATCTGGAATGATGTATCTTTCTTTAAATAGTAATTGTATGTAATGTAAGTACTGTTGCACTCTATATAAATGTTCACAATTTATTATTTATATTTAATATTTTTTACGTCTTTGCAGATTCCACCATATGCCTATATCTTCATGTGCTGTGCTTCCTACAGGATCCATTCTATTTATATTCTAAGACTCTTCAATGACCCAATAGCAATGTTATTTCTGTATATAGCTGCAGATTTATTTCTACAAGATAAATGGTCTTCTGGATGTTTGATGTTCAGGTCAGCTGTTAAATGGTTTTTTATAATTGATTTATTTCCAATAAGTCCAAACAAGTTACAAAATGAATATAATTACTTAAAAAGTTACAGTAGACATGCACAAAATGTTAGCCTTAGTTCGAATGAAAATGCTTCATTTATAGATGGTGAATATTAGGCATCATGTATGCAACCAATTTAGTATTAAGTGGATTTTATACCTTCATTGGCAGTACAATCTAAGTGCCTGTTATATATATGTTACAGGCATTTTCTAAATTTAGTCATGTTGTTAAATGCCTAAAAACTTTGGGCATTTTCTAAAATGCCTACAGTAAGATTCAGGCACTTTTTTTATTGACTTATTGTTCTAGGCATTTTACAAAATACCTGAAAAATATTTTACAGAATGAAGAGTTCAAAATGAACCTGAACAATTGAAAGTTTTGAACAACAGAGCAGTTTTATCTATGATAATTACTGAATGTTAAAGCTTGCATTTTTAAAGAGTTTTAATAATCAAAAATAAATTCTACTGAATTATTTCAAATTCACACAAGCACAGCACTCTACAATAATTTGTTATTTCATAAAATGTTTGGATGGCGGAACTGTTACACAATTTGTGTGCTGATTTTTTGCAAATACATTGTTTGGTGTAAAATCTGGTTTAAGCACTTCAAACACATTTGGAGAAACCTGGATCATGACACATCTAGCTCTTTCAATACCTTTTTCTGATAAAACACTGAACGTCCGACAACATAGGGTTTCGCAATAAGCACACACATGACACATGAATATCTTACTTATCATAGTCCTCAAAATGATTCAAAGTACATTATCATGATGAGTTTGACATACATCCTTTGGCTTATCATAGCTTTTAACGGACTGAAGCAGATCTGCCCATGAGATGTGATGCATCTATAGCAGGAGACGCTTACCCTGTCAATGCACCGTTATTTGTCTCTTCTTGGTCGATTTCTAGATTTTGATCACAGTTACCTATTGTCTCATTAATTCATCAGATTGCAAAAACCCAAGAATTCCCTGGAGGCAGTGAAGATGAAGATACTCATATCTTTGCATTACAACCATGACAACCTTTTATGACAAAACCCATGCTATTGAGGGGAATTTGTTTGGATGTTGATGTATAAATTGGCATTTTTTCTGAATGGGGACATCAAATATGTTGCCGCATGTTAGTAAAGTGCAACACTCTCTGCACATTAAGAACTCTTTGACTGTTCTGCAGATGGACTTTTCTGTCCCTATCCAAAATATCTTCATTTCAAGCGGCAGTCGAAATTCCTGTCCTTTATCCATGTCAATCCATTGCAGAAGTGAGTTATTTGAATTATAACCAATTTGTTCTCGTTTTAGAAATGCATGAAATATTTGCTACTGAATGCAAACAAACAGCAAAGAGTCAATTAAAAACAAACTTTGTTTTCTCAGCTTTATATGTTTCACTTCTGCTTTGAATCTAGATTTTCTTAAAATTCGTTTGTAAATTATGTTCTATTTAAAGAACAATTTGTCCTTCTGTCATTTTGACAAAATAATCATAAAATAACTATCTGAAATACAGAGTTAGTACATACTTAATGTAGTTTCACTAAAAAGAACATATCATAGACGTATAAACTTTCCCAGCTGGCTTTTGAAGAATAAATTAATTTTTCCTGACTCATTAGTTATTTTCTTTGTAAGATGTTGTGTTTTTGTCCACTTTTTGTCATATGAATCTCAATGATATTCTTTTTCTACAAATTACCTGAAACTGAACAGGCACTTGGTTGAATTTTGTTTCAAAATTTCAGTCATTTTACAAAATGACTAGGTATTTCTAGTCATTTTATATAATGCCTGTCAAGGTTAGGCATTTGACAAATTGCCTGAAAATCAGTCATTTTACAAAATGCCTAAATTTACAAAATGCCTGTAACATATATAAATTCTAAAGAAGAAAAAAAACAACAAACAAGTGCTACATTTTATGCCAATACCAAGTCAAACTATATGGATGATGTTTTGTTTATCTGTTTTATACATGTATATTATCAAAAGAATTTTTTTTTCCAGTTTAGGTGTTTCAGTGAAGATGAACATTTGTTTATTTTATAATTTGGGTTTTTCAGTGAAGATGAATAGTTTGTTTATTTTATAATTTGGGTGTTTCAGTGAAGATGAACGTTTTGTTTATTTTACAGTTTGGGTTTTTCAGTGAAGATGAACGTTTTGTTTATTTTACAGTTTGGGTTTTTCAGTGAAGATGAACATTCTGTTTATTTTACAGTTTGGGTTTTTCAGTGAAGATGAACGTTTTGTTTATTTTACAGCTTTGGTGTTTCAGTGAAGATGAACGTTTTGTTTATTTTACAGTTTGGGTTTTTCAGTGAAGATGAACGTTTTGTTTATTTTACAGTTTGGGTGTTTCAGTGAAGATGAACGTTTTTTTTTTTTTACAGTTTGGGTTTTTCAGTGAAGATGAACGTTTTGTTTATTTTACAGTTTGGGTGTTTCAGTGAAGATGAACGTTTTGTTTATTTTACAGTTTGGGTTTTTCACTGAAGATGAACGTTTTGTTTATTTTATAATTTGGGTGTTTCAGTGAAGATGAACGTTTTGTTTATTTTACAGTTTGGGTGTTTCAGTGAAGATGAACGTTTTGTTTATTTTACAGTTTGGGTGTTTCAGTGAAGATGAACGTTTTGTTTATTTTACAGCTTGGGTGTTTCAGTGAAGATGAACGTTTTGTTTATTTTATAATTTGGGTTTTTCAGTGAAGATGAACGTTTTGTTTATTTTATAATTTGGGTTTTTCAGTGAAGATGAACGTTTTGTTTATTTTATAATTTGGGTGTTTCAGTGAAGATGAACGTTTTGTTTATTTTATAATTTGGGTGTTTCAGTGAAGATGAACGTTTTGTTTATTTTATAATTTGGGTGTTTCAGTGAAGATGAACGTTTTGTTTATTTTACAGCTTGGGTGTTTCAGTGAAGATGAATAATTTGTTTATTTTACAGTTTGGGTGTTTCAGTGAAGATGAACGTTTTGTTTATTTTACAGTTTGGGTGTTTCAGTGAAGATGAACGTTTTGTTTATTTTACAGTTTGGGTTTTTCAGTGAAGATGAACGTTTTGTTTATTTTACAGTTTGGGTGTTTCAGTGAAGATGAACGTTTTGTTTATTTTACAGTTTAGGTTTTTCAGTGAAGATGAACGTTTTGTTTATTTTACAGTTTGGGTTTTTCAGTGAAGATGAACGTTTTGTTTATTTTACAGTTTGGGTGTTTCAGTGAAGATGAACGTTTTGTTTATTTTACAGTTTGGGTTTTTCAGTGAAGATGAACGTTTTGTTTATTTTACAGTTTGGGTGTTTCAGTGAAGATGAACGTTTTGTTTATTTTACAGTTTGGGTTTTTCAGTGAAGATGAACGTTTTGTTTATTTTACAGCTTTGGTGTTTCAGTGAAGATGAACGTTTTGTTTATTTTATAATTTGGGTGTTTCAGTGAAGATGAACGTTTTGTTTATTTTACAGTTTGGGTGTTTCAGTGAAGATGAACGTTTTGTTTATTTTACAGTTTGGGTGTTTCAGTGAAGATGAACGTTTTGTTTATTTTACAGCTTGGGTGTTTCAGTGAAGATGAACGTTTTGTTTATTTTATAATTTGGGTTTTTCAGTGAAGATGAACGTTTTGTTTATTTTATAATTTGGGTTTTTCAGTGAAGATGAACGTTTTGTTTATTTTATAATTTGGGTGTTTCAGTGAAGATGAACGTTTTGTTTATTTTATAATTTGGGTGTTTCAGTGAAGATGAACGTTTTGTTTATTTTATAATTTGGGTGTTTCAGTGAAGATGAACGTTTTGTTTATTTTACAGCTTGGGTGTTTCAGTGAAGATGAATAATTTGTTTATTTTATAATTTGGGTGTTTCAGTGAAGATGAACGTTTTGTTTATTTTACAGCTTGGGTGTTTCAGTGAAGATGAACGTTTTGTTTATTTTACAGCTTTGGTGTTTCAGTAAAGACAAACGTTTTGTTTATTTTACAGTTTGGGTGTTTCAGTGAAGATGAACATTTTGTTTATTTTACAGTTTGGGTGTTTCAGTGAAGATGAATATTTGTTTATTTTACAGTTTGGGTTTTTCACTGAAGATGAACGTTTTGTTTATTTTACAGTTTGGGTGTTTCAGGGAAGATAAACGTTTTGTTTATTTTACAGTTTGGGTGTTTCAGTGAAGATGAATGTTTTGTTGTTTGCTCCTGCTTTACTGATTTTGTTATTAGTCAGACATGGTACCATGGCAACAGCTAAATATCTGACTATTTGTGCACTTCCACAGGTAATGTACTTTGTTTTCAGATGGACTACTCATAATGTTGCACATGGCAAGATTGAATGTTTCAACTTATCAGAAACAAAACAACAACAAAAAACATCAGCCTCCCCTCACCCCCACCCCCCAAAAATGGAAAAAAAACTACTGAAATGGAGCAAAAAAGGTTTTTAAAAAAAGTTAGTTTAATGTACCCCTTGTTTCATAATTTTTTGTAAAGAAAAATTAACTGCTTCTGCGGTCTCATAGTGTCACAGAAGCATGCTTGCCTTGAGTGCAGGAAGTCCTGGGTTTTGGTCCCCTGCCTGGTCTAACCAAAGACTTGAAAATTTGTTATTTGCTGCTTCTCCTCTAAGAACGTGGCATTTAGGATTAAGAGATAGACCTAGCAGGGCTAGAGTCATGATAATTTGTCCAGGTAGGTTGACAGTCTTTCTGAAAACTTACCTAATGAATTAATATGTTAAATACACGGCTCGTTGTGTTGGTCTAGTACAAAGCAAGTTCATATTCACATCAACTGCCTTGGTGTTCTCATGGTAGCGTGTTCGCCTAGAGTGCGTGAGGTTGTGGGTTCGTACCTCAACCGGGTCAAACCAAAGACTTTAAAATTGGTATTTGCTGCTTCTCCGCCAAGCACACTCATTAAGAAGTAAGAGCAAAGACTGGTTGGCTCGGAGTCAGAATAATGTGTCCGGGTAAGGTGACATGTCTTCCTGCAAACTGTTTCCTTGTGAGCTAGCACGTTAAATATCTGGCTCAGCGTGTCGGTCTAGTACAAAGCAGGGTAAATATTCATATTACATTAACATGTTCTCGTCCTGACTATGCATATTAATTTACCACTGGACGTTGAGCAGCCATCCATCATCATCATATTAACATCACATTAACATGTTGTCATCCTTTATATGCATTTGATTTGTCACTGGATGTTTAACAGCCATCCATCATCATTTATTGTGTTTGCTGAATTTCATGTTATAGTGCGAAGTTTCCATGACTATGTATATTATTAAATTTTATGTAATTTAATTCTTTAAACTATTTTTCAGATATATTTTTACAATATTGTGGATTCACTTATTTTCGTGGATTAAGAAAAACTTACATGTTCGTGGGTATTTAATTTCGTGGATTTACCGAAGTTTGCATACAAGCCTATAGGAAGTTTGTCATTGGTTGAACATTTAATTTCGTGGTTCACTTATACCAATGAAATCCATGAAAATTGGTATCCAACAAATAATAATGAATCCACAGTATAACACTTTCTTGATTTAACTAAAATTTACTAGTTTTGTTAGTTATATTTAATGAAAATATTTATCATGAATTCCACTCATCCTTGAGAATGAGCTATATATTAATAAAACTACATAAAAAGTTGGTTGTATTCTAAACCAATGTTAATAGAAAAATGTTTTAATGTATAGAATTTGTATCTAAATGAAATAGTAAAATAAATAGATAATCTTAAGGAGTAATACCACCATTGTTTTTCCCCTATTAGACTTTGTTATATTGGCACTTTTCAAAAAATTGTGCAGAATTTATCTTTGTTTCAAATAAAGAAATACTTGGCATGAGTAAAGTTTTATCCTGTGCAGTACTACAGACAAAATTTCACATAACATTTCATTGCATATAAGATAATAACCATCACTGGAAGTTAACCAATCAAATTTTCACCCCTTTTTTTCCTGTTTACAAGCTTTTAGTAACCATGTAACCTCAACTTTCCTAAATATTTTATAGAATCACCAAATAAAAAAAAAGGTGCTTTGAAACACCAAAGATATATGATTATGACTCTGAAATTTTTTACTGCAATGAAATGTAGGATTAATTTCCTACAACTGTCAAATTCAAGAGAATATTTTTTTCGAACCTTTTTTTGTATGAAACCAGATGTGACGTACTACGATTTGGTGGTATTACACCATTAAGCTAATGAAAACAATACAACCTTACAGAGAACCAGTTTGGATTTTGAAAGTGTGGTAAACAAATATCATATATCATTTGTTTACCAGACTTTTTTTAGCATTGTATATTTTATATGATATATATATTAATTTGTATTTCAGATAATCCTTGCAATTCCTTTCCTCTTGGTGAATCCATGGGGATATATCATACAGTCATTTAATCTGGGTCGTCAGTTTTTTTATGTGTGGACAGTGAACTGGAGACTGGTTCCTGAAGATCTATTTTTAGACAAGAAATTCCAGTTGTTATTATTAGCATCTCATGCTGTCTGTTTACTAATATTCTTTCATTTTAAGTGGAAAAGGTAGGAAAAAATATGAAAGTTATCTCCCTTACATTATTGAACAATTGGGATCTGTTAATTATTCTGGATGCACTATGATTTGTGTATGTTAATTATAGGTCATAGATCATCAGACATATTTTATATTTCATTATACAAAAGTTTTTTTTTTTAAATCATACAATTTCTGACATATTTTTTTATCATAGCCTATTATACCTTAAACCTTTAATAAGGAGCATTTCATTCAACATAACTACCAGAATGTGTTCCCCCCCCACACACAATATATAGCAATCTTTATCTTTAATCTGGAGATCTTGGTAGGATAATTTCAGATTTCAGATTCAATCTGGGACTTTTCAATCAGCCAAGAATACAGGAAAATGTATGTGAGACAAAGATTTGATCTTAAAGATAAAGATCTAAAATGCAAAACTGACCATAAAATTTATTCCATTTTGATTAGAATGACAAAATTTTAATCAAATGCTTGATAAGTTTCAACACAACATACAAATATGCAAAATTCTGTTATTTCTGAATTTTTGTAAAATTAAGGGGGAAAATATTTACGAGAGAGTTTTGGTAGTGATTATTTTACCCTATTTTAATAAGACACATTAATCAACATGTTATAATAAATCAGGGTCTAACTAGACCAGCACTTTCAAGATGTTCCTTTTGGGAGGAGCAGCATGTTCCAGCATGATTAAATAAGTATCTTACACATTAAATTATTATTTTATGATTATAGAAAGTCTTGTGCAAAGAAAATGATTTAAATATTGCCACCTTCTTCATCCTCTGTAACCATCTTTGTTCAATATGAAATGATTTGTACCAAACAATATATATAAAATTAAAATACAAAGAATTAGAGTGAATTGAGACAAACTACAAATGTAACTGTTTTTTGTAATGTTTTTTTTTTGTATGTTTCAGGTTATACCAATGTGTCAGATTTAAATTATGGATGAAACCTTTACCACATACACTTACCAGTAGTCATATCCTTTGTATCACCATAGTGATCGTATTGCTTTAGTCTTTATGTCTTACATGTACAAGGGGAGATAATTCACAAGCACATAGTTATATTTGTACATTCAATCTAAAAGAGAAATTTGTACTGTAAATTCAGAAATTATTGCGTGCATTTATTATTGCGATTTTCTCATTTTAGACTAAAATGCGATTTTAATTTTTGCGATATTGAGAAAAATCCTGTTTAATTCATATAAAAAATTTCAAATTGCGAGTTTAAATTATTGCGATTACAACCCTGTCGCATTTTTCGCAATAATAAAAACATCGCAATAATTTCAGAATTTACAGTATTTGAATGAAACTCAGTATGAGTACTTTCAATAAGCATAGTTACTTTTTAGGTTAGATGCACAAGGGGAGATAATATGACATGAATATTTGTCATCACATTAATGTGGACATATCAATTGTGATGCTGCAGATTCTTTTTACTAAAGTGATCAACATTTTATTTTTTTATGAACTGTAAAATTATCTCCCTTTGGAATTTTATATGAACTTTATTTTTCTCAGTTATGACTAAAAATGCAATCTTTAACTCTGTAGACATAGTTTAGGAACAAAGCAGCAGATAAAGTTTACTTTTTATTTTTTTGCAAAAAATACTAACAGTTAATCCTGGTAAAACTTAAGAATTATTAATAACAATATTCAACTTATTCTTATTCTTATAATGCAATTAAAATATTACACTTTGTACTTATAAAAAAAAGCTGATATTTCATTAAATTTTTTTAAGAGAAATGACTTTGAATAGCTTAGTTGATCTAATACATGTATGGAACCATAACATATACTACACTCCAACTGATGATGAATGTAACTATAATGAATTGTTTAGTTTGTGATTACCAAATTTCATTCAGTTTGAACACAGCTTTACTTAACTTGTTATGACCAAAGTCCACAAGTATGATGTGCACTCTATGAAATACATGTATAAATTAGGGTTTTGATCCAGATTTTTCTCTTCATGGAAATGTAAAAGTTGGAGAGGGGGGATGGTATTCTTTGGACACACATTTTTGTTTTCTGAAAAAATCTGAACATTGATATTATTTTGATGTCAATAGTATTAAAAGAATAGACCAAGCAAGTTGTTAATTGTCTTTTCTAGAAAATGATAAATGCACATGAGAAAAAAGAAAACAAAATGCTGCCGAAAACAGTGTATTTGTTTCGCCTTGACGAAGTCAAAAAGCGAGACATTGGTATGCTGTTTCCAGTGTCATTGTTGGCCGCAGCATCTGCATAATCAACTTTGTATTAGTTTGTGATTAGGTCTTGTTTATAGGGAACCACAAGGGTAGGTCAATGATATTTAGTATGCAGTTGTATTAGTATTGGTACATCTCAATTCCATAGAGATTATGTGGCCCGCCCCCTCAGTCATGGTCTATTGACTTAGAAACTTTTGCTTAGTTTACATGTATTTGTTTGTGGGGAACGACTAGTGGTAGATCAATGATATTTGGTATGCAAAATTGGCATTTGCAAGTTTCATTTTCATGGAGACTATATAGCCCCAAACCCTTCATCATGGTTCATTGACTTTGAAACTTTTACATAGTTAATTTTGTGTTTAGGTTTGTTTAAAAGGGAATGACTTATGATAAGTCAATGGTATTTTGTATACAGTTGTATTAGCATTGGCACATCTCATTTCCATGGAGATTGGTTATCCCTGTACCCATACCTGCCAACCTATGAAACTTTCAAAGAGGGAGATTTCCCTCTCAGCAATGACAGCTGAGGGGAAGATTTTGCGCTAACGACATTTTCAAGCTAAATATATGACCTGTACACTAATTCATTTTCAAAACACCAATAAGAGTTTATTTCTTCAATTCATGGTTGTAATCTATAGTATACAAGTTGGGTTTTTTCCCTTTTTCAATACCTCCGAGTTTCATAACTCATAACATTCCATATTTTGTGTGGTTGTGAGTGTCACACAGTTTTTATACTCCTGCCTGGGGGCGGACTGGCAAGCGGGAGATTTTCCGAATTTCAATGTTTGCGCTGGAGACTCCCGCTCAAAACGGGAGGATTCGCAGGTATGTGTACCTTCAGTCATGGTTCATTGAATATTTACATAACTTACATGTTAAAGTATTTTAATTTTAATTTTAACATTTGCATTATCAATATAATGAAAAGACGAGACATATCTCTGTGTTAATAGTTTATTATGGAGAAATTCAACTAAATACAAATAAAAATAGTTGATTTGTTCTTTGTCAAATAATTTTTAACCACAAATTCTAGATTTCATGTTTTGACTGTCTGAATTTATTTTTGACTTAACAATTATACAGATTATATTGCCATTATTTACAGCCAACTTTATAGGAATGTGTTTCAGTAGATCATTACATTATCAGTTTTATGTGTGGTACTTCCATACCTTACATTATCTTTTGTGGAGCACAGCTTTACCATCTGTAGTAAGGTGAGTCATCTGTCTATGTTAACTCTTACCATGTGGGACTTGTTAAATTAAAGTGTCTGTCCCTAATTTAGGGGAGCCTCTGTGGTCCATTAGTCTAAGTTGTTTATCTACAGTGATTACTTGTCTGTCAACACTGACCTTGTGAGTTGGAACCCTGCTTCAGCAGTTGATATTCTCCAATCTTAAGTGACTAGGACTGTTAGTTTTCCTACCAAAAGGTTGGTGGTACTCTGTGGATAGTCCAGATTCCACCACCAATATAATCTGGTCACCATAATATAGCCAAGTGTGCTGACAGTGGCATTAAACACCAACAATCAATTAATCAACTAACTTCAGTTTTTTTAGCTCCAGTGAAAGTTTCTGGATAAGCTTCAACAGAGAACTAAAAAGCTCACACCTTACAATTGGAACAAGACAGCTCCAAATGTACACCAAAGATTTACTCTTCAGAAATTTATGAAATAGCAATTTTACACCTTTGCTGATATTTATGAAATGCCTTTTCACAACTTTGAAAATGCAACACATACAGGTAGCCCATGTAGACAGTCTACAATTTTAAAAAACATAAATTACACTTTTTCAAATTTTAAAAGAAAGACAATCTGTTACAATAATGAACTGTGTTAACATTTTTAAAGCAACATAAACCTTCTGGTAGTGCATCAATATTTTCTTTTTCATTTTAACATCTTGAATTCGATATTATTTTTATTTCAGAATCCTTTTACTAGGTTGTATAGAACTGAGCTGGAACACTTATCCTTCTACAGTCTTCAGTAGTTCATTACTACATGTCAGCCATTTTGTTATATTTGCCTCATTATGGTGGAGTCCTCTGTATACACCACAGAAAAAAGTTGTGGTTGCTTCTAAGATGCATTAGTATTGTGTTGTTTGGTTTCTATGACAATTTATAATCAAACGTAAGAGATTGAAGATAGAGAAATGATCTTATAGACATTTTTAGTCTTTCGAAATAAATATATGAATTCTTAAGTTATGATCATGTTGCAAGGCAATAAAAAGTTGTTTTGAATAGAATGATGTGATATTATTGTTATCCTTTTCAATATTACAACACCCACCAAAGACAACAAAACAATGTTTTGTCTGTATCAAATGTCCATATTTATCAGTATCAGTGGAGGTACTAGGGGGCATAGAGGGCGTTCAATCCCTACCTTTAAACAGAAAAAAATATAATTTTTGGCTTAAAATGGTAAAAAAGATATAGCCTCCCCACGCTTGTCTGTATTTCTACCATTTTTGACAATTGCTCCTCCCTTTTTGTAGGTCCTAGATCAACCCCTGATTATCAAAAGATTTTGTTTTTTTTTACCTGGAAGTGATGTTTCAGATATTTTGACTCTTAACAGGCTATTGGTGATTGTTTATGTTTTGGTAACGTTTATTGTAGCTGGCTAAGGCTTCAATGTGTACATACAATGGCTTTTAGTTCAAAGTTGAAGAAATCTTATTTTTGATCCAGTCATGCTTTATTTCAAACTACGTGGATAGATTATTGAATATTTCATATTTGTTAATTTTTTCTGTATAAAAACTGTTAACTTAAAAATTACAAAAGACAATGAACCAACGAATGATAAATTCTTAATAAGATAGAATCCCTAAAGTTGATATCTTGGATATGCAGGTTGTTACAATAAAAACATACTGTAGCACTTAAGGACGGTTCCTCTTGGAGCAACGTTCTTGTGGGTGCCTCAACATAGTCTTCCTTTGTTCATGTATGCAATGGCTAATAGAAGTTTGGCTTGGCATCAACAGTGGTTACTATAATGATACAGGGGTTATTGATTACAATGAAAAATTGCAAGCAACAGTGAACCAACGCCTGGTAAATCTTCAATACAACACAACACCTAAAGTGGATGTATGGGATATGCAAAATATATAAATACATAGAATTAAGGATATAGTCAGGTTAGATTTTAAAAATCTGGAATTTGATTATAGTTATCAAAGGTACCAGGATTATAATTTAATACGCCAGACGCGCATTTGTCTACATAAGACTCATCATTGACGCTCAGATCAAAATAGTTATAAAGCCAAACAAGTACAAAGTTGAAGAGCATAGATACTATAAATCAGGTTCCTTTTCAAGATATTTAATTTTTAAAAAATGGCTGGAAAAGGCTGATTCATACTTTTACCTTATATTTACCATTGGCATTATTTGGGTCTCAGATCGTAAGAAAAGAAATCGAGAATCTGCTTAAATTTTAGTGAATGACCTTTTATGAGCTGTTGAAGTCTTATATGAAAAAAAAAGTGGGTGATACGGGGCAAAATATTTTATCATGTATTGTAGGAAAAAGCCCAAGGAGTCAGAACATATGACAAAAATTCCTAAACCTGACATGACTATATCCTTAAGGTGATAGTTGTTTAACTTTGATGCATATACTATTTACAAGTCTCAATCCTTCAATTCGAAATCTTGGATATGCAACTCAATATGAATTAAACTACTGGATGACTCCTTATAGGAGTTATTGTCCTTAAATGACAATTTTTTACTAATTATTTGCTCATATTGCATAAAAAGGCCATGCAATCAATTACTGTCAGTTGTTAAAGGAGATAATTTTCATTAAAATCCAGTTCTAAGCAATATAAACTCATAGAGTAATAATAGTTTATTAGTGGACACTTCTTGGACTGTAATAAAGAACCTTGCACAATAAGGTTAACCATGACCTGTATTTAAGCCGATAATGATTGCCAAACCCCTTCCCAAATAGTTTCTCAGGACAAACAACAACAATGTTTATTTTGATCATTGAATTCATTGTTTTACCAGATTTTTTGTGCATGACACCTCCCTTTTCCAAAATAAAAGTTGTTGCCTAAACTAAATTGCAAACACAATGAAAACTAGAATTGATATTGCAAGCAATAGCAGATGTCACCCCCCCTCTCCAATTGCCACTTAGCGGTAGCCATTTAGAAAATTTTAAACAGTGATTGCACATATATGCTTCCTCCTTTTCATTCTCAATTTTATGGCTATTCATCTTTCTGTAAATTTTCAAAACGTTTGGATCATTTTGAAATTTTACTGTTGCTGTTTCCATGATAATGGCGGCCATTTTGGAAATTCCAAAGTCAAAAGTATCACCAATACTTGCCAGTTAACATTTATTTTAAGTTTCATTAAGTTTGGAGAATTATTCAATTTTTCACATTCTTGCAGTTTCCATGGTAACACTGGCCATTCCCAAAATTCCAAAGACACCTGCCTCATTGGCACATGACAGGGAACTTGCCATTAAAGTTTCACTTGGTTTGACGTACCATGTTAACCGAGTAAATGCTACTTTTTAGGTTTTTCCCATAGGGTTTAATGCTAAACATATCCAGTTTCCATGGCAATATAGTAGTTCCAAAGATTCTCAAAATCATCCAAAACCTAAAAATAAGAAGATGTGGTATGATTGCCAATTAAACAACTCTCCACAAGAGACCAAATGACCCAGAAATTAACAACTATAGGTCACTGTACGGCCTACAACTATGAGTTAAACCCATACCGCATAGTCAGCAATAAAAGGCCCCGAAATGACAAATGTAAAACAATTCAAATGAAAAAGTTAACGGTCTGATTCATGTACAAAATAATGAACGAAAAACAAATATGATATACAGCAACAAACAACAACCTCTGAATTACAGGCTCCTGACTTGGAACAGGCACATACACAATGTGGCCGGGTTAAACTAGTTTGAAGGCGCGCCAACCCTTCCCTAACCTGGGACAGTGGTGTAACAGTCACTACAAAAGTCTAAAAGTCTGAAAAGACCAGTTTTTGTCTTAATTTGCATGAACTTTTACTCGACATTCTCCAAAAGTATGACTTGTGTCTTAATTTTTCTTGACAAATTCTCCTTTATATTAAATTTGTATGAAATTTACTCGACATATTCTCGACATTCTGAATATGGTCTTAAAATTTCTTGACAAATTCTTGACATTTGAATACTGTCTTGAAATTTCTCGACATATTCTCGACATTCTTATTTTTTCTCAGTATGGCTTGACATATTCTGAACATTTTGAATCGTGTCTTAAATTTACTTGACAGTTCTGAGTTTTACAAATCATGACCAATATTCATGATATAACTTTAATCTTTATTTCTCTTTATATGATATACTGTTGTTTCAAGTTACACTTCTTTACAACAAAAATAAAAGTTGGGCATGTAAAATAATTGAAAATTTGGGTATATAAATATTTTTACAAATGCAAATATGGCTATGAAATCTAAAGTATAAAATAATTTAAATGTGGGTGTGTTGATATAAAACAATTTCAATGTGGGTTTTTTAAATAATTACAAATTTTGAATCCTAAATCTTATAAATTAAATGATTCAAACCAATCATACTGTAGACATATTTCATTCTACATTCATAATATTCAATGTTGATATGGTAAATAATTATTATACCAAAATGTGGTTTATATAAATAGCAAATTATGATGATGTACAAATCATTCATTTAACAGAAGAAAAATTTGTGTAATGTCATCTGTTGGAATATATTAAATATTACACATGGACAGGATGTTCCCCATAAAATTAAGGTATTCCACACCCCAGAGTACACGCAACTGTCAAATAGAAGTTATTGCTTTACCTGTAATCAGCCATACAACTTATCAGTTGACCGACCATGCCACTACAATTTAAAAAGTTTGTTGATAGATGAAAATGAAAATCATCATTTTGATGAAAAAAATTGAATTGAAATGGATTTACTTCATCAAAATTATGAAGTTAATTATTTTAACATAAAACCAAATTGAATAATTCCCAAAGATTAAAAGAAAATTATTATCTACTCCAGGAATAATAAAAAAAAATGTATTTATAATGGGTCCTATCAATGATTTCTATAGAAATCATCGGTCTTATGAAATGGTTCTCAAACAGACATGCATAATATGAATGTAGGACAGAAAGTCACAGGACAAAAAGTCACAATTCAGTTTCGAGATTATATTTCTTTAAACAAGAAAACACTAATTTAAAAAATAATTTTTTTGTTTTTTCTTGAACTATTATATATGAAGCAACTTTGTAATTAAAATTTATTCAATAAATATCAATAATGATCAAATGATTGTTATGAAAACAAAATGTCAAAATGGCTTGGTACTTAAATGGCTTCATTGTGCCAAGAAATATATCCTTTGCATGATTAAAATTTAATAAATTTTCATTTATCAAGGCTTATGAACAATTTCCTAAACTTAAAAATAAATATATGTAATAAAAAGAAATTATTTCAAGATTTTTCTTTTATATATTCAAACAATTGTCAACAAATTATTTGTGACTTTTTGTCCTATCAAATTTGTGACTTTATGTCCTGTGACTTTCTGTCCATTTACCGCATAATATAGACCTAAACATTTTTTTCTTTTCAGGAAGGAGTTATCACAAATATTTATTTTTGATAAAAAATTATAAAATTCAACACTCAAATTTGAATAAAAAATGTTTTTGGGTTGTTCTAAAAAATGATAAAGGTTTTTGAATCAAGATGGGAAAAAAATCTTTGACATAAACGAAAGCCACCCCCCCCCCCCCCACCCCCCCCCCCCCCCCTCTTCGTTTAGCCACACAAACCCAAAAGATGAATTGTGGGGTCCAAAAGAGATACAAGACACCTATTTAAGTAAAGCAAATTTGACTGGCAGTTTTGCGAACGGCAAAAATCTAAATGCTGTTTGTCAATACCTTCGACTTATATTCCAAGTGAAAACAATTACTTAAATGTTTAATAAAAATAACTCAAAATTAAACTACATGGGGGATTATTCAGGGTATTCCAAATTTTATTCTTAATTTTCTGGCTCGGTAAACAACTTCTCCTTAAAAATAAGTTTTCTACAGATACAACAAAACTTCCAAATCAAATCTTTATATCTATGTAAGAATTTAATAAAGATTTTTTAAGTAATTAATGGTGACGAAATCCCTGACTTAATAATTTTCCAGTAATACATAGATTATGTTCATTGAAATCCAACACGTCACAACAGACACGGACAGAGCGAACGAGTTGTGATATATAAACACCGTAAGATGGTGCCAAAGGAACATCACGTCACTGTGTATATGTATATAGTGGACAAAACTTTTGATGATTTTAAGTTCAGGCATACTCAAATTGTTCATTAAAAAACAAAAATCTTGTTTTTCACATTTGTTCTGTTTGCATGGTTATGGCGGCCTTTTAAAAAGTTCCGAGTTCTAACGACACAACTTCATATTTATTGCTTTTCATTATGCTGATGTTTCATCATCATTTGTCCAGTAATCTCCCAGGATATTGTACAAAAAATGTTTAATACCACAAGTAGAAGGTAGGGATTCATAGTAGGGGTTATGGGGCAAACAGTTTAGGAATTAAGGGTCTAAAAGGGGCCAAAACAACAATTTTTGTAGTTTCCGGACAATAACTTGTGTGAGTGTATGGATCTCTCTGATATTGTACCATAAGGTTCCATATCACAAAGGGAAGGCTGGGATTGAGTTTGGGGGTTACTGCCTTAAAAATGTAGGAATTAGGGGCCAAAACATGCATTATTCTAGTTTCCAAACAATTACTTGTGTAAGATGTGTATTGTACTACAAGGTTCCATACTACAAAGGAAAGAATTGGATCGAGTCTTTGGGTAATTGCTCCAAGGGGTGATTCCAAAAGTCGCCGCGGGGGGAGGGGGGGGGGGGGGGGGTCCAATTTTTTTAAGGAATTCATATTTTTTTCAAATTTCAAATTTTGTAAAAGTTTCAAGAAGTAATCTTCAATTGCACGTTATTGCGCAATAGATTTGTAAGATCTTTTACCACATTTATTTTGTGTCAGAAACCTATATTATGTCAAAAATTTGTTCACAATCAAAATCCAGACAGTATCAAATAAAGGCAACAGTAGTATACCGCTGTTCGAAACTCATAAATCGATAGAGATAAAAACAAATCCGGGTTACAAACTAAAACTGAGGGAAACGCATCAAATATAAGAGGAGAAAAACAACACAACAAAAACACAACATTAAAATGTAAAACACACAGAAACGACTATAATATAACAATGGCCATTTTCCTGACTTGGTACAGGACATTTTAAGAAAAAAAATGGTGGGTTGAACCTGGTTTTGTGGCATGCCAAACCTCTCGCTTTTATGGCAATGTTGAATATAACATTAAAATGACAATATTACATGACAGGATTACAATACAAATAAATGGGAGAACATATAGGACAAAGAAACACACGAATAATAGCTAACAAAAGGCACCAGGTTTAAAATCCAATACGCCAGACGTGCGTCTCGTCCACACAAGACTTACCAGTGACGCTCAGATGAAAAATGTTTATAAGCCAAAACAAGTACAAACCTAAAGAGCACCGAGGACTTAAACTTCCAACACGGCCAGGGTTTTCTGCCTGGGACAAGACCATCCTTATTCAAGATTGAATAATATATCCAAATTTGCCCCAACTGTTCAGGGTTCGACCTCTGCGTTCGTACCAGGCTCACACATTTTGTCATATTGGTCAACATCGACAAATTTGTCACACTATGTTTAGATTTAAAAAGCCTCTTCCTTAACAAAATGTCTAGAATAAATCATTTAATTTATTGATGAATTATAACAATGTTTTGAACGGACTGAGGATTGTTTCCTATTCGTCCGATCAAAAGGACCAGATTATAGTGCTCATCATTTCTTCTCATTTGTTGTTGATTATGGGTCTTCAATTACCTTTGTTAAATGTTTCCCTTCTTTTTAGTTATAGACACGAGACAGTTCAGAGTTGACATATTGTATACACGCTTTACACACTGTCTACTGTTGATCACATAAACACTTTAGACAAAGTCTACTGTTGACCACATAAACCCTATAGACAAAGTCTACTGTTGACCACATAAACCACATAAACCCCTCAGACACTGTTTACTGTTGACCACATAAACACTTAAGACAAAGTCTACTGTTGACCACATAAACCCTCTAGACACTGACTGTCAACTGTTCACCTGATAAACCCCTTAGACACGGTCTACTGTTGACCACATCAACACTTTAGACACTGTTTACTGTTGACCACATAAACCCCTTAGACACGGTCTACTGTTGACCACATAAACCATTTAGACACTGTCTACTGTTGATCACATAAACCCTCTAGACACGGTCTACTGTTGACCACATAAACCATTTAGACACTGTCTACTGTTGATCACATAAACCCTCTAGACACGGTCTACTGTTGACCACATAAACCATTTAGACACGGTCTACTGTTGACCACATAAACACTTTAGACACTGTCTACTGTTGACCACATAAACCCTCTAGACACTGACTGTCAACTGTTCACCTGATAAACCCCTTAGACACGGTCTACTGTTGACCACATAAACACTTTAGACACTGTTTACTGTTGACCACATAAACCCTCTAGACACTGACTGTCAACTGTTCACCTGATAAACCCCTTAGACACGGTCTACTGTTGACCACATCAACACTTTAGACACTGTTTACTGTTGACCACATAAACCCCTTAGACACGGTCTACTGTTGACCACATAAACCATTTAGACACTGTTTACTGTTGACCACATAAACCTTCTAGACAATGTTTACTGTTGACCACATAAACCCCTTAGACACGGTCTACTGTTGACCACATAAACACTTTAGACAATGTTTACTGTTGACCACATAAACCACATAAACCCCTCAGACACTGTCTACTGTTGACCAAATAAACCATTTAGACACTGTCTACTGTTGATCACATAAACCCTTTAGGCACTGTCTACTGTTAACCACATAAACCCTTTATGTTGCATTTTAATTGCTACCGTTAATGTTGTTATACCGATCGACGAACTTTCGCTTCGAAGTCTTGGCCTCGAAATCGAGACCACTGAGACGGTTACATTGTATAACACAAGGGACAAAACTATTTGAAATTCATGCATTATTAGTTATTTATTATTTTAGAATACGTATTGCAATTTTAGATCGAACAGGATAAGAAAAACTACCTTAACAATTCCTGGGAGAAACATTTGATTGCTCTTCTTATTTTTTGTCCGCCTTGATATATCACACGAATTGATTAAGAAGCATGAACATTCTATAAAAGGATGAATGATAATTCGTTGCATTAACTTTTAATTCATACTCGTTTCGTCAATATATGATACAAATGAAAAAGTTACATACTGCCAACTAACTAATATGCACTGATGAGGCATTTAGCCAATAACATTTGATATGCTGCTAAAAGGTAGAGTATTTTGTTTTTCTTCAAAAAGTTAAAAGTAGAACTTTGTTTATATTAACACTTTAAAGAAAATTTGTTTAATCAACTTTTGATGGAATTTTGTTTCAATTCACTCTTTGATGAAATTTCCATTTTTGACAGTTTTATTGTATTTTTCAAATCTCTGTCAACGGTATCGTTTCATACTAAAAAATAGCACTCGGTGTCATATCTATATTTGAATCAAAATGGGCTACACAATAAACAAACACAATCAAGATTAAATAAGTAGCTTAATTTGAACATAATAAAAAAGTCAAAGAAAACAAATAAACAATCAATGCCCCCAAAAATAAAATACAAATAAAATTAAGAATAAAGCAAAATACAAAATGCTTTAAAATTGTATAAACAAAATTCGCTTTTCCGTTTGGTTGAAGTTTGCACGGTTTAGTCCAGATTGGGCATTGCTTAACAGAGCCAAGTTGTTTGTATTAAAAAATGTAATACTTTGTTAAATTATGAAACACGTGTCGTTAGTCACTCCCTTATCAAACTTATACCCCACGCAACGAGTTGCGGAGGGTATAATGTTTTTGACCCGTCCGTCCGTCCGTCCGTCCGTCCGTCCGTCTGTCCGTCTGTCCGTCCGTCTGTCCGTCCGTCTGTCCGTCCGTCTGTCTGTCTGTCCGTCCGTCTGTCCGTCCGTCCGTCAGTCCGTCAGTCCTGTTTCTTGTCATCGCAACTCCTCTCAAACCAAACAACAGAATTTCACGAAACCTTTTTAGATAATAAGGACATACTATGTAGTTGTGCATATCGACAGGAAATTACGATTCAATTCTTTTTCCAGGAGTTACGCCCCTTTGAACTTATTTGCCCAATATACTACTGCAACCTTTTGTCATCGCAACTCCTCTCAAACCACACAACAAAATTTCATGAAACCTTTTCAGATAATAAGGACATACTACGTTGATGTGCATATCGACAGGAAATTACGATTCAATTTTTTTCCAGGAGTTACGCCCATTTGAACTTATTTGCCCAATACACTACTGCAACCTTTTGTCATCGCAACTCCTCTCAAACCACACAACAGAATTTCATGAAACCTTTCATATAATATTGACATACTACGTAGATGTGCATATCGACAGGAAATTACGATTCAATTTTTTTTTCCAGGAGTTACGCCCCTTTAAACTTATTTGCCCAATATACTACTGCAACCTTTTGTCATCGCAACTCCTCTCAACCCACACAACAGAATTTCAAGAAACTGTGTAGATAATAAGGACATACTACGTAGATCTGCATATTGACAGGAAATTATGATTCAATTTTTTTTCTGATACAATTTTTTTTTTCTAACACTTATTTTATTTCTCCAATGACAATGTGGGGACGTGGGGTATATGAGCGCGCTCACTAAGGTTCTTTAATGAAAGATGGTTTGATTTTCAAGCCTGGAAGTACTATGTTGACAATATAGTATATCCATCCTCCAATCAACAAATTTGGTCATATCTACTCAATGCGTCCAAAAGATATACCGCAAACGACACTGTGTCATCTTAAAACAATATGGTGCATTTCAAAGAATAAAATCTTGATTGTTTCGCTTGTTTTTACATACGAGTTGCAATTGCCTCACATATATAAAGTTTTGATTGTCTCACATTATTTTGCCAGCAGGCACACAACGTTGAACCAACGTTGAAAATTTGTTGAAATTTGGTTGTAGCGTTGATCAACGTGAAATTAACGTTGTATCAACGTCAATCCTATCAACGTTTAAATCACGTTGTTGAATCAACGTTGATTTGTGGTTAAAAATATCAACGTTGAACTGTCAACGTTGAATCAACATTGAATTTAAGTTAATGCTTTCAATGTTTTGATAGGTTGAAATTATAACGTTGATAAAAGGTTTATTTAAGGTTGATGACTATAAGTGTCGACCGAAATTTCATTCCAGATGAGATTGAATCATTTTATATATATACAACTTTGCAGGAATTATTGGGAATAAATGTTAATAATTTGGAATTCTGTTGCATGTGTATATAAATCTTCAAATTTACACGATAAGATCGAATGAATTAACTTACGCGAAAGAGATTTTTTTTTCTAATTTGCGCATGCGTATGAGGCCGACATTTCGAATTTATTTGCGCCAATATGATTACCACAACAAGTTAGCAGTTGCTCGAAGCAGTGCAAAGTAAGTATAATTTTCATTCATTGTTTGCTTTAATAATAGTTATATGATAATTTAATGTTAACAGTATTGTAGCTGTAATTATTCGCTGTCCCCGCAAGTATGGCAAATCATTATAACCCCTTTTTTGAAGTTCACCTATTTAATCTCAAACTCGATATTTTATATGTTGATGTAATTAAAAGATTTACAACGCATGGCATTCTTGACCTTGAAATACATTTAAAACAAACAAATTATTTTCTCTGCATCAGAATAGATGTCACTCACAGCATGTATTCCGAAGATTTACTAATCATGTGAAGCAATTCGGTGGATAAGAAACACGTGTGACCATAACAAATTAATACACAATCTGACCAATTTCAAAGTGGTTTATTTGATACTGAGTTATGATAAAGTCGAAATAGATGCTTGTTCAATTGACCGTACTGAATTATTACAGCCCAAAAAATTCAAGGAAATAGACAATATTCCTTTAGTTTTAATATCTAAACATAACCCATATGCATGTATACGTAAAATTTAAAAAAGACGTATCACGTCGGAAAGACTTGAATTTATTGCAGTTTAAAGAAGAATGTAAGCAAAGGTTCAAAGTTGAACTACTGCTTGAGTATAGCACATTAACATGCTGAAAATATTAATTGATAAAATATTTAAAAATATAATGAAATATATCAATAAAATAAATAATCCATGAATATTATTCATTTTGAATTATATGAAAGTAAATAAACTCATCATTGATACCAGGATTGAAATTTTGTATTTTGCGCCAGACGCGCGTTAATTTCGTCTACAAAAGACTCATCAGTTACGCTCCAATCAAAACATGTTGAAAAGGTCAAATAAAGTACAAAGTTGAAGAGCATTGAGGACCAAAAATTCCTATAAGTTTTGCCAAATACAGCTAAAGCATCTTAAGGTGACCACCCAAAGCTTTATCTGCCGAAAGGCGTTGTTTTATGGGTTTTATACTAACAACATAGGCGGGTCCCCCCTTTTGTGGGAAAAATTTGGTTGATTATAAAGGGAATCACTGAAGCATGACTGGAGCGGGCCCCCTCTTAGGGCAGTCAGTGGGCCAACCATTATGAAAATTTCGGGATCCGCCACTGAACAATATGAGTGCTTGTGAGGCCTTATTTTATCTCAAGATGAGTGACTGTCAAGATCTCGGTGCTTGTGGGGCATTATTGTATCTCAAGATGAGAAACTGTCAAGATCTCGGTGCTTGTGAGGCCTTATTTTATCTCAAGATGAGTGACTGTCAAGATCTCGGTGCTTGCGTTGCAATATTGTATCTCAAGATGAGTGACTGTCAAGATATCGGTGCTTGTGGGGCATTATTGTATCTCAAGATGAGTGACTGTCAAGATCTCGGTGCTTGTTGGGCATTATTGTATCTCAAGATGAGTGACTGTCAAGATCTCGGTACTTGCGGTGCAATATTGTATCTCAAGATGAGTGACTATCTAGATCTCGGTGCTTGCGGTGCAATATTGTATCTCAAGATGAGTGACTGTCAAGATCTCGGTGCCTGTGGTGCATTATTGTTTCTCAAGATGAGTGACTGTCAAGATCTCGGTGCTTGTGGTGTATTATTTGTTTCTTAAGATGAGTGACTGTCAAGATCTTGGTGCTTGTGGTGCATTATTGTTTTTCAAGATGAGTGACTGTCAAGATAAAATAAATTGAAATGCCACTAATAGCTTATTGTGAGATCTTCAAACTATGATTTAGGATTAAAATTAATTCTAAAGCCCTTGGTTCCAGAGGCGAACCTTTTGAGGGAAAAAAGTGGTTGACTGTATAAGAAATCACTGAAGCATGACTAGAGTGGGCCCCTCTTATGCACTCAATGGACCCCCTTATAAAAATTTCCGGATCCCCCACTGATTCGAGAATCTTGTTGGATTCTGCAGGACAAATTTCCCTTAATGCTACAATAAAAATAATTGAACTTACAGATTTTCAACCAAATTGTGAAAGGTTTTGGAAATCCCAATTTTGTAAGCGTTTCACACATATAAAACTTTATTTTTCTTTTTCAAGTTATAGAAGGAGTTGTGACAATTTGAAAATGCTGCACTTAAAAGTGTCTTTTTTGTAGATGTCTTCACCAATAAACCGATGTCTGAAAAATACATGACGGGTAAAAAGAATAAACATGCCTTTGGTGGTTCAAGCTTTTTTGAAATAATAAGAGGTGAGTATTGAAATATATATCATTGTTTTCCACATTCAAAATTGTGTGGGATTTTGTCACAATTTCTTTTAAATGTGCTCTAGTATCATTGTCTACTAAAATCTATAGGTTTTTTGTATTAAAATTTTTTTTTTTATTATATCTGAACTCAAGTTTAAAAAAAGCACATGGTTGCTCTCAATAAATATTTGAAAAAAAACAATATCATTGCACAGAGATTATTTTTTCACATATTACAGTGCTGTTCTTTATTTGAGCTGCAAAATAATATTAACCTAGTTATGATAAAGATAGTATAATATGTTTTTTTTCTGTTGCAGATGCTATAGCTACAAGTCACAAATGTGCAACATGGACAACAATGTGGAACTAGTGTGCAATATATCTAAAATACGCCCAGAGATATCGGGAATGTGTCTAGCAAAAGGACTAATATTTTAAATAAAATTAAGTATTCAGTTTGTGTTTGTTTGAAATTGTAAGATGCATATGTGAGCAACATGTTATATAATTACTGTTTTATGTCACAAACATATTTTGTGTATGAACAAACATGATCCTGTCTATAATGAAAAATGAAAGTACAAAAATGTATGCCAACTGACACTACAATAAAGTTCAAGATTATCTTTGCCTGGTAAGGTTAATAAGTTGTGCCTGTTCTTCTTGTCAAGTCTTGTATCATAAACACCAGATTCAGAAGTGAGTGGTCTCATTACCAGTATAATAATTACCAAAACAAAGGGAATGATTTATTTTCCTTTTAATCATAAAATTTAGCGAAATACAAAAAGGGAAATATTGGAACAGGCAGAAATCTCCTAAATAAAGAACTCTGCAACAGACTACATGTATATCAACCACCGACACATGACTATCACCACTTAGTACATATAGTTTTGTGAAAGTTTTATTACACATAAAATGGCACTGATGGATATAATAAGTAGTAATGATTTCAGCTATTGACAAGTGGTAATGATTTCAGCTATTGACAAATGGTAATGATTTCAGCTATTGACAACCCACAATTAAACCAATGTTCAAAATCATATTCTCAACATTGACCACATTTCGAGATTCAACTTGCATTAACGTTAAGCCTAAAACAGTCTACCTATTTACAACATACGCTGACCACAGTTCAACCAACATTCGACAGGTTTTCAGCATACACTGACCTCAGAACAACCAGCATTCGACCTGATTTCAACATACAGTGACCACAGTTCAACCAACATTCAACATGTTTTCAGCATACGCTGACCATAGTTCAACCAGCATTCGACCTAATTTCAACATACACTGACCACAGTTCAACCAGCATTCGACCTGATTTCAACATTTACTGACCACAGTTCAACCAGCATTCGACCTAATTTCAACATACACTAACCACAGTTCAACCATCATTCGACTTGTTTTCAACTTGCATTGACCAAATTTAGACCAAAATTCAACCTATTTTCAACGTTGGAAGCTGACGTTGAATCAACGTTATGTTTTCAACGTCATATCAATTTTCAATCCAACACTACTTTTCAACATTGATTCAACGTTGAAATCTGACGTTTATTCAATGTTGAATCAACGTTGCTGTGTCTGCTGGGATATATTGTAAACCAACTTGTTTTCGCGTATACTTTATTTCGCGTTTAGCCCTTTCTAATCCACTTCGC